AGGATCAGTGCCACTCTCCACAGAATAAATTTCTTAGAAGCAGGAATTATGCCTGCGTGTGTGTTTGTGCAGCACCAATCAAAATAAAGCCTTGATCTTGATTAGGGAGTATGGACATGATCATAAAACAGCCCTCCTCTGAATCATAGCATGCATTAATAGCCTCTGGTTTCAATCACAGGACTAATGTTCTTAGCTGATTCTGCTATTAGAATGAAGAAACCCTAACATCTATATAACCAGTGGCTGGGCAACCATGCTGCTAATTAAACCATTTTAGATCTTGGGAAATGATGCTTGCCAATTGACATTTTACAGTGCATTAAGTTTTAACCATTTAAAAAAAAAGTAAATTTTTAAATCTCTGAAGATAGTTTATGTTTAAAGTATGATGCTGATTCAACCTGAATGACAGGATCACAAAGGAACATGAAGGTTTGCAACATATTAAACAGTTTTAACATGCAAAAAACAATGTAAAAACAGAATGTGAAGGTTGTGTTTAGAAGAATCTTAAAGTGCTTCAATGCTGCAATTAAAACTTTTGTTGTGCAAAACTGCAAGCACCTTTTCAAAAATTAAGCAGCAATATGACAGAGTAAAATCTTAAATATTAAATACATATTCAATATTCTGCTTTTGAATTTCAGGACCAAACTAGCTTACCACATATTCAGTAACAGAGCCCAAAAGAAAATCTTCTGATTTGATTTTGTATTTGATCTTTTTAAGCATACATTTTGATTATATAGAAACACAGCAAATTTGTGGGATTGAAATCCTCATGCAGAATTACAGCTACAAAAATAAATATTATCTTAGATAACACAAAGGTTGGTTGCCTCTCCATTTTCTTCTAATACAAATATTAAGAGAAAAGTCTACTTTCTTAAAACATATTAACATCATTTAGCTCAAAAGATTTTCAGCATGCATAAGTAGGCATAAGAGGAGGTTTGATTTGATACAGCTGTGTAGTAAGTTATAGTGATTTCTAAATATGCATTATGTGATGGACAATCTAAAATAATATATAAGATAATGAACCAGAATACATTTACTTCTGCCATATCCCCAGTATCAAATGAAGTCAAGGGCATTCACGGAGAAGTAATGAAATAACCAAGACCAGGTAATCAGCTATAGGAAAAAAAATAAAGTCAAAATTCTGCATTTGGATGGAAAGTGCACACAACAAGTTAAATTAAAATGTGAGCCAAACAGTGCTCAGCTCAGGAAAGAATCTGGATTCAAGTATCCAGGATCACTAAGTTTAGCATCACGCCCTCATAGAATCCATTTTATATATAAGTAACACTTAAAGACACTCAGTGTTTCTTCACTTAAAAGTACTTCTATTCAAAGTTTCACAATTCAAATGAAACATCCCAATACAAACTATATTGCTGGAAGACTGAACCTATCTGCCTACTTGGTACTAAGTTCAGTAAAGATTTGTCTGCACTTGAGCACCTGAGGAATTTTCTAGGAATTTACAATGTATGCCAAATCAGTACAGTGCACTTCTACCATTTTGAAATGGGTCACTCTTGGACAATGAACATATACATTGTATTCTGAAGTTCTAAATCCCATGCTATTCCTAAATCATAAGTTTGACAAGAGTTAAGTAAAACCAGATCCAAAATGGAAAATGATTTAAAATTAAGTCGAGGTCCATCTAAAAGCTTTTTTTTTTAAATATAAAGAAAAGATTAATAAATTGAAGGAGGAATCATATTTTTACGAATCTTGAATAAACCAGCACACACTCTTAGGATTTAAAAGACCACCACCACCACTTCCACAAAACAATCTGGTCCCTACAGTTTTTGTATTTTCACAACCAACTAGTCAACAATTTCTAGATGAGTCTGAGGGTACATCTACGCTACACTGTTATTTTGAGAAAACTAGCATTATTTCGAAATAACAATGTAAGCGACTACCCTGCCATTCTGTTATTTCAAAATAAATTTGAACTAATGGACGGCTTATTCCAAAATCCATAAACCTCATTCTACAAGGAATAATGCCTGTTCCGAAACAGCTATTTTGAAATAAGTTGCATGTAGATGCTCCACAACTGCTATTTCGAAATAGCCCCTCACCAGGGCCATTCTAAGTTATTCCTCCCCTGTGCCTCCTGGGGGCTCCAAATCAAAATAGCATATTACGGAAACCTGTCGGACTAATTTTGAGGCTTTCTTGCAGTGTAGACGTGCTATTTTGGAATAACTATCCGGAATAGCTCTTTTCCAAATAAGCATGCAGTGTAGACATACCCTGAGTTTATCTGGGCTTGCCTTCTTTGATAAGGAAGTTTAAATCCTTACCAGAAACAGGTTAAATAAATTTGAAAAGCTTGCTTTTACAATGGTTAGAAAGGTATATTTTATGTGATCTGTGCAGACAAACCTTATTTTGACACAGTGTTTTTTAAAAACCTAACAAAAAGAAAATCTTTCATATCAAAGAATTTCCTCAAAGCACATTCTACAGACTGCTCACTCAGCTTTCAAAATGGTTGGTTTCTTAGTTCAGTCATGTTTTTGAGGAAAAGCGATATGAGCACAAATAAAATGAAATCAATCTTTTAAAATCACTCCATTTCTGCAATGCCATTCAGTTACTCAGTGTTTACATAATTAAAGTGTGGCTTAAAATCTGAACCATTATCCTCTTCTACTTTCAAGTGAGCAGTTAAGTATAAGAACTGTAACTAAATTTGATCATTTCTTTTTAAATAGTGCATGTGTGTGTGTGTATTTGAAAGAGAGGCAGTGTAAACACTGGCGGTAGAGTCTGTCATACAGAAAGGCAACATTCATGTTCATAGATTCAGTTGGGTTGTTTACTCTCTCCCTCCCCCCCTCCCCACACACACTTATAAATGCTAAACATGAAGTGCAGAAAACTGGTCAACTGTACAGGCCCTCCCTGGTCTGGCACCCTTGGGACCTGAGTTGTTCTGAACCATGGAGTTTGCTGGACCAGGGGAGGACAAGACTCTGGTGGCTGCTCTGGTGGGAGCAGGGAGCCAGTGGCAGCCTCAGCCCCACCACACAGGGGCTGGGAGCCCACAGCCTGTCCCAGCAGAAGCTCTGGGGGCTGGGGGCTGCTCCAGCCTGGCTGGAGTGGTCCCCTACCCAGGTCCCACTTAAACTAATGTTTCAGCGGTTAACCGTTTAGCTGGTTATCTGGGATTTTGCATCACTAATAGAAAGCTTAACACACTGCATAATCTTGAAAATGACAAGTCCAGCAGGTCATTCCCAGCTGTTAATAGATATCAAAATATCCAGCAAGAACTTTTAGAGACAGGGCCAGACCAATACTGGCAAACAATAACTTACTAATAACTCATTTATGTTATTACTAAGGTAGCTTAATTGTATTTGCTATGTAGCAGTACTGTGCCATGCCCTTTATGGCTCAGAAATAGTGGAAAAGCAATTCTTAAGCAATCTTAATGATAAGTTGCATCATTTTGCACATTCATTCTATTATTTCAAAGTTCTTTGAAAACAATAAAGCCAAGATTTTCAAAAACCTGAACCTGCATCCTTTGAAATTAAGGCTCCTTAAAAAGGTACCTCAAAAAGCACAAGTCATGTCTGAAAGTTTTGGCCTGCATAGCTAATCCTACATGCAATCAGTAAAGAAACACCATGTCTGGAAAAACCCAGTCATTTTTTAATCAACACACTGGAAGAGAGAGAGCATACCTTCAATTTTTTCCCCACTAAGTGAACAGAGTGGAAGTTAATCACAAGATAATTTAAAATCACCAGAGCTCATTCTATATGCTAGGTGTGTTTGAACATTAACACCACCAAACACAGAGATAAAGAAGCAACTGTATTGTGTAAGAACACAATAAGCATTTTTACCAAAGGTTCACTCTAATGACAAAATAAAACCTGGCAAATTTTGAACATTTCACTGGAAACAAAATAATAAATAATATATCTGTACTTTTAAGTAAAAAAAAAAAAAATTCTAAAAAAGTACTTGTTAAAAAAAATCAAAATGCTAGATTTACTTCCTACAGGTTATATCACTGAGATACTTCTGTCCAATTTCCTGATAAATTTACATGTACAGCAAATTAAAGTATTTAAAAACATTTATAGGGACACACTGCATTCATAGAAAAACTTCTAACTTGCAGATCATAACCAAGAGCATACAAAATCATGGACAAATCTTTTTCCTTTCCCAAATAGTACACTGACCAATTCAGCTCTGTAATGTAATGGTTCAGTGAGAAAGTCACATGATTTATTTTCAGATTTAAAGAGAACGTAACAACTAAATATAATGCTATTATGAAAGCAGTACGTTTTGCCTTATCTTAGACATTTTTCATTACTATTTTAGTTATATAGTTTAATCATAACAAATGTACACAAAGATTCTTTAGCAAAGCATTTCTTACACTTGTGTGTTTCAAAGCAAACATGCTTTGTTTGCAAATATGCAACTGCATAATATTTGGTAATTTAAGCACTATTCTACTGTACACACATTTGCTAATAATTCAAATATTTTGCAATGCAAGAGGCAATGTTTGTATTCTTTAAATCTGAAAACTCTATTGATAACCTCTGTTAAAACAGAAAGAAATCTTCACTGCAAACAGCCTTCCTCTCCTGGGGTACCTTGTTAAAAATGTACACAGACTGCTTTTTTAAACAAAAAAAGAACATTTCTAATTTGGACATAGAGTTTAGCTCTATGGATCATATAAGAAATATTTAAGAAAATCAGTTGTCAAGTCAGTCAAAAGGACTATCAAAATTTAGAAGTGTTCATATTGTAGAATAGTTCCATAAAGAAGATTAGACAAAAAAATTATGCAACTATTCCAGGGGTCACTTAGGTTTCAAGGCTCCCCACTGTCTTTGCATTTTATCAGATTTTGCATTGAGACACAAGTAGTAACTAAGGGAGAAGCTCCACAGGAGTCCTTTTTGTTCTTGAAAGAAAACGTAGGGTTATTCATAAAGATCAAAATAATGTATTAGCCAGAAAATAAGGAAATAATTTAACACTTCATTCATTTAAAGAGACATGACTTCATCAAACTAACCCAGTCTATCTCCCACTAAAACACAACTAAAAGACGTTCAGAGAAGCATAGTTGCATTCATATGTAAAATATGAAATGATTGCTATGCTATTTGAAGGTCACAAGTTTGTTTCTTCTACAAGAAGATATACAGAATTATTGTGAGGTGAGAAGAGAAAGGGCTTAATAGGAAAAAAAGTGCTATGTGGAAGAACAATTGCCCCTTGAATACAGTACTAACATGTCCGATATGTAAAGTAACACACACAAAAAACATATTGGAGTTAAATAGCACAAACTTCTGCAGTCATATTTAAGCAAATTATATGGATGCTATACATTCAAAAAATCCACTGCAGGCTAAGTCTATGCAAAAATGTATTGACCGTGTGTGTTACAGAAGTCTACTGAACAAGACAGAAGGTCCATCAGCTTACTCATATCTACTGTAACTGCTCACCTGAAATAGGCTGAAATAAAAAAGCCTATAGTCATGTCTAAACTGTAATTTTTTTCTTTAGACATTGCTTTCATTTTACAACATTAAGCAGGGATTCTTACTACAACTGAGTAAAACACAGGCATTAATTTAGTAGAACATGCAGAATATGGAGTTTCTCTACTTGGTTCCATTAACTTACAGGCAATTCAGGCCAATGGAAACAAGGGTTCCCCCTCCCCCCAATGTTACGTCTCCAATCCTGGCTAATCATCGGCATCCTTCAAGGGGTCCCGTCAGGGCATCAATGCTGCTGTCGGTATCTGAAGCCAATGTTTGCTCTGTTGACATGGATGAAATGTCATTGATAGATGACGACTGGGAAGGGCTGGTGTTGCTATTCACTGCTGCATCTGTGCTAAGTAAACCAAACATAATAAAATCTGAGGCAAGACATTATTGCAAATATAAACAACATAGCTTTAGGATTCTTAGTATTTCCTCTCTCAGAATACACAACATGTTACAATTATAGGGTATGTCTACACTTGCTCCCTATCTTGAGATAGGGATGCAAATGCAGTGTACTGAAAGTGCTAACGAAGCACAGGATTTAAATATGAGGAGTATGAAGAGTAACAGTTATTTTGAGAGAAGGGTTTTCTTCTTGAAATAACGCTGCTACACAGGGTGTTTTATTTTGCAATAATGCGATTTTGAAATGGCAGCCGGACACGATTATGCTAATTAAGCGTGGGATATTTAAATCCCACGCTTCATTAGCAATTTCGGTATACTACATTTGCATCCCTATCTCGAGATAGGGAGCAAGTGTAGACATACCCATATTTATTAAGAGACTATCCAAGTTAGCTCAAATTTTTAGTTACCGTATCTGTGTAAAATACATGTAACAATGTGCATTGTTCCTCCAAAAAGAATACTGTACTTTCTTTTAAAAAAACCCCAGCAGCTCATCACTTTTGAGCAAAATTAGAAGAGCAAACAAGTCTGCATTCATTTCAGATAAGCAAATTTTAGTTTTACATTTCCACGGTGTTATAAAGAGTAGGGAAACATTGTTCCATCCCCTTATGACTAGAACCCTGCACGGATGCAAAATTTGTATCTGCATCTGTATCCACAAAAATACGCTGTGAATATGTACGCTGACATCGTGGATGTGGATACCCACTGATATCTGAAAATATGAAGGGTTCTAGATACAAAATTTATTTCCACATCCACATGAACTTCAATATCCACATCTACGAATGTGGATACCTGCGGATTTACAGCAGATATTCATGAACTTGCAGGTCTCTACTTATGACATCTCATTTTGTCATTTTTATATGTTTAAATAATTTATAACATTATTCTGTGAGAAGGGAAGATGTCAATTTCACTCTTAACAGTAATGTTTTTTGCATTACCTATTCACATCAGAAAATTTAATATTTGTCAGTACAGTCAAAGCATACAACAGGTATCTCGTATCTCCCAGAACAGATAGGATTACTAATTTTTACAACCACCTAAAAGAGAACAAGACAACCTCTTTAGGTGGAAGTACTACTATCTGGTTACTAAGGCTTGGTCCTTTAAAGAGAATGCATTCTGTGATATTTAGCATTTCAGACAGAGCAAAGGGTCATGTGACCTGAAATGGGGGTGACGTGTGGCTATGCAAGGACAATATAACAAGCAGAATGTGCTCAGAGCAGAGCGCCTCATGTGGAGAAAGTATCAGGGCAGACTCCAAAGTTGGTTAGAAGACACCAAAGAAAATGTCCAACAGTAACCTGTAGGAAATATGAAGTACTGGAAAGCTCAAGCAACAGAGCCAGGCTTAGTAGTGGGAGGTCCAGGGATGTTACCATGTAGTCAAGTACACAATTAACCGATAAGCCTGGGTTTATTGGTTAATCTTATTAACCACACACAATCCCACCCCTTGCTGCCTCTGTATCAAAGGCAGTAAGGAGGGAGGGGGAGCAGGAGCCGGTGCTGTGGGGAGCCAGCTGCTGCCTGCCCTGGCACCACAAGGAAGCACTCTCTCTGCACTGGTTTGCAGGCTCCACCTGTCATTCCCACTGGCTAGGAATTTCAGCCAATGGGAACAATGGGGGTGGTACCTGCCGGTATGGTGGTACAGGGCCATCTGAGCTCTCTTCCCCAGAGCTGCACCAGGTGGACATACCCCTGCCCCCTCCCACACCCATCCCCAACTGCCTCCCGCACCCCTCTTCCTACCCAGACCACCCCCCACAACCTCAGCCTTCTCCTTCACACTTCCTTCTGGCCAGAACCCCACACCCTGCCCTCCTACCCCCAACCTGCTAGCCAGCAGCCCCCCTTCCACACTGAACTTTTCAGCCCCTCCCCAGAGCCTAGGGGTCCCCACAAAATCTACTACCTCTGTCCTAGTTTCCATTTTTTATATGACTCCTTTTTTATTTTGAGATCATGCAAGATCTCCTTGTTAAGCCAAGCTGGTCTTTTGCCATATTTTCTGTCTTTCCTACACAGCGGAATTGTTTGCTTTTGGGCCTTTAACAATGTCCCATTGAAATACTTCCAACTCTCCTCAGTTGTTTTTCCCTTCAGTCTTGCTTCCCATGGGACCTTACCTACAAGTTCTCTAAGCTTATCAAAATCTGCCTTCCTGAAATCCATTACCTCAATTGTGCTGGTCTCCCTTCTACCTTTCCTGTGTATAGCCTGCAGAATTGTTTTACACACCATACCTCACTTATCTCAGTTTTCAGCTCATAGCATATTTATCACTTGGTTTGGCAGTTTCTTTTAGAATGAAATAAAAACTGTTCATACCTTCCCCAAGAAGATAAAAGGGGCATTTCCCTGAACAGATTTACTGTAAAATGTAGGGATGTAGAAGAGCTTATCGGGTAGTCAAGTCAACTACTCCCATCCCCCCTCCCTTTTGCTGCCTCCGATATAGAGGCAACAAGGGGAGGAGCAGGGGCTGGGGGGAGCTGGCTTAAAAGGCTGTTCCTGCTAGCATCATCTGTGCAGTGTGTGGGGGGGGAAGCAGGGGTGCAGTGCGGGACCTGGTGTTCACGCCAAGTCCCATGCTGCGGCTCTACCTTTTAAATGTAGTAAGAGCTGCCCTCTTTTTACTACATTTAAAAGGCAAAAGCACACCAGTCCAGACCCAGCGCAAGCCGGGACTTCTTCAATCTTGGCTCGTGCCAGGTCCCATACCTATCCCCGCTGTGGCTCTGCAGTTAACTGTAGCAGAAGTCTGGCTGCCTGCATGTCCAGCTCCTACTACATTTAAACAGCAGAGCCGCAGCAGCCCCTTATCAACTAATTGTGTACTCAATACAAACTGATTCGAGTACATGTTTAGTCATTTACAGGCAGTCCCCGGGTTACGTACAAGATAGGGACTGTAGGTTTGTTCTTAAGTTGAATCTGTATGTAAGTCGGAACTGGCATCAGCCGCTGCTGAAACTGATCAGTTTCAACCGTGGCTAAATCTGGATGCCAGTTCTGACTTACATACAGATTCAACTTAAGAAACCCAGGCGTCCCCCCAATACCCCC